TTCAGTCACTCCCAAGGCCTGCTCCTGGTTCGCTGTAGCTGGGTCTGTGCGGGCACAGCTTGTGCTGGACTGCCAGATGTACTCAATTTTCTCAGTAAAGAAGCGAGCTCATCTATTAGTAGGGATAGGACTTAGAGGGACTGAGGGATAAAAGAGATGAAATAGTTTGGAATAACTGCTGAGAGCAGTGGGATAGAGAAATAGTCTTAGAGAAATAATTTTTTTAAATGCCCTATAGGAAGGATTAGTTAAGATTAGATAACATCAAATTATAATGGGCCTAGTTATAGGACTTTCTTCAGAGAAGACAAACAGCACAAGAGAAGACAAGTGTTAGGAGTGAGTCTTGGTTGAAGATTGTCAAAATGTGAACGGCGGTAGGACACAGTGATTTAAGGGTGGAAGACAGGACATGGTTAAACTGGTCCAGCATAGGGTTGGGTCTGAAGAATGCAAAGTTTGGAAAGAAAAATTTCAGAGTTTGAGATCATGGAGGAGGCACAGTTGTGGTCAGAGGGTAAAATTTAAGGCATGACCATTCCTGTGGGTGACTGATGGAACAAAGATATAGGTCATAGGACTTGAGTTGAACTGAAAGCCAGCATATCAAGGGAACATCAATATGTATATTAAAGTGGAAATAAGGTTTGCATGATTGTATATGTATAATGGGTATCAGATTTTTTCCCTTCTCAATGGGTGGGGGGAGTTGAAGGGTAGAACAAGGGAGAGAATATGGAATTAAAAATAAAATTTAAATTTAAAAATATATATTGAAGTCCTCAAGTATGAGGCATAGGGATACTTTTAACCAGGTATGGAACTCCTTGAAAACAGAGGAAAATTGGCATGAAGGCCAGTATATTACAAGGATGTGGACTTGGTAATAAATATTGTTGGAGTGAACCTCAAAAGAGAAGAAATTGCTAAGTGATGGTGAAAAAGGATCATCTGAAGGTGGCATCAAGGAACAAGAAGTATGACTACTTCTCCTCCTGGCCTAGTATATCAAGTTTCCTGGGAAAAGGAACACCCAGAGTATTGGAAAGTGTAACCAGGGATGATTTTTTTTTCCATTGGGATTCAGGTTTCCATTAGAACCAAAAGATAGAAGGAATGTGAGGTAAAGAGCTCTAGGATAAATGACGGTTTGCTTACAATAGAGCATAAATTCCAAAGGGCACAATGAGATGAATGGGAGGCCATAGGAAGAATTTTGGATTATTAGGGCCCGTTGGATAAGGATGAGAGTGCATAGGGAGGCAGAAGAGGAAAGAGATTTTTCACATCAGCAATGCGTGTCTTATTCTTCAGATGAGGAAACTGAGGTCTTCAGTGATTAAGTGACTAGTCCAAGGTCAGAAGACTAGTAAATAGCAGTCAGAATTTAAATCCAATACTTCTAAGTTCAGTGTTTCCTTGATAATAACTTCTGAACTAAATTGAACTTTTACTTTCTATGCATATACCTTATTCACCTAATGTTCTATAGTAATTTTGTTTTTTCCATTGAGAAGTTAGCAACAGCAGCAATATTTCTGTTAAAGCCACTTAGGACTGTTAGATTTTCTATCTCCACCTGATTCCAAGAAATCTTGCTCTTAAGAAGAGATGTAAAACTGTTCTTTCTCTTCCCAGACTTTATGCAGTTTAATCAGAAAAGGAATGTCGCCTAAGACTAGATAGTAAAATGTTCCTGTCTTCAATGATCCCATGTGAACTACTTACTGCCATGTCATCTCGGATAAATCATTTAACCTCTTAGTCCCCAGTTTCCTCATCTATAAAATGAGAGGAATGGACAAAGTGATTTCTAACAACTTCTCCCTCTCATTTATGACCATGTGATAGCTGCAAGGGACAAGAAATCCCCCCCACCTTTACACCAACTAATATCGCTATATTTAGCTTCCTGTGAACTTTTATGCAACACCCAGCAAATATATATCATTAACATATGCATAATAATGGACAGCAAGATAAGCAGTCAAAATCATAAATGGGTGTACTAATCCTTTTATAACCTAGTACAAAGAATGAGTAGAGCTATACCAAGTACATCTTGATGTGGAAGTCTGGATAGTCTGAGCCTCAGGCTCATCTGTAAAATGGGGTTAATAGCACCTGCCTCACAGTGTTGTGAGGAGCCCACGAGATCTTGTATGTGAAGTCTTTTTCAAACCTGACGGTGCCCTATCAATGCCAGCCATCTTTCATATAGCCAAGATTTTATACAGTTCCTCAAACATGGCTAAGGTGGCTGAAGTGAATCCTAAAGACTATTCAAATTTTGAGTTGGCCAAGTTTTGGTATGAAGGAAACATCTTTTCCTTGTGAAATTCATGTGCCAGACTGTTGAAGATATTTTTGTCACTCCCTTCTAGCTCTAGAGCTATGAAGCTGTGATCCCACTTTGAGCCTCAGGGTTCCCTCTGTGTGGTCATGCTTCCCCAAGTACACTTTTAATGGCACTGTCCACGGTGCATGCCCAAGGCTACATTTTCTAAAGCTAATCCCTTGCTTTTAATTTCAAACCATTTTTTACTTTGAAAAGTCTGAATGCTTCATTAAGGATTGCACATATAGTATGTGCCAGGACTGGAGTTTCAAAGTTCAGCTGTTTTTGAGTTATTTGACTGGACAAAAGGTCGCAAGATATCTTTCACAGCAGGGAAAGTGTATTTTTCCACATGTTTATAGTGTTTTGAAATGGCCAAAGTAATTTTCCTTAAAATTTCCATAAAAAAATAACTTTCATCCATGGTATGAGTTGTAAAGACTAGCCAGCACAGTGTAGCAGATAGAACACTGGACTTGGAGTGAGGAGGTCTGAGCGTGAGTCCAAACTCTTAACATTCACTAGCTATATGACTTTGGGCAAGTCACATGGCCTCTAAGCCTTGGTTTTCTTACCTGTATAAAGTAGTGCAACATATTTGTATTACCTATCTCATGAGGTAGTTGGAAGAAAAACATTTTGTAAATCTTAAAGTGCCATGTAAATGTAGGTTATAAATTTCAGGCCCTCAAGTAAAACTTTTGTCACTGTCAAAGACATTTTCAACACATCCTGGGGTGAAAAGGTCCCCTTTGTGAGGCTGCTCTTCTCTATTGTTAAGCCTATAAATTCCACCTTTGAACTAAAAGAAAGGTTTCACCTCTAGAGATTAACTTAGTGAGATTATGATGATAATATCTCAGCTCTCACACCTAGAAGCTTGATCATTTTCCCGAAGGATTTAATGTATGAGCCCTTCCTTAGGCCCCCGGACTTTGCCTCTGCCTTCCCAGGAGGTTGCCTGTCTATATAAGTTATCTGATTGTCTCAGCCTTTGCTGATGCCGTCCTAATATGCCTTCTTTCTGTTGAAAAGAATAGTTTTCCCAAATCCTTTTCAGGATGACTTTCTGTCTCAGCTCTGCCAAAGTGCAACTGTGGGCAAGTCCCTTAACTTTCCTAAGCCTCAGTTTCCCCAAAAGTAAAATGAAGAGGTTGTACTAGAGGGCCTCTGAAGTCTCCTGCAGCTCTAAGTCTTTTGATATTAAGGTGGTTTGGAGGGTAAGATCTTTGCCTTGCCAGAACTACTATTCCTGAGGGGAGGAGAGGACTGCATGATAGAGGAGCCGGAAGAAGTCTCAATATATGTGACTTAGTGTAAGTCTCTTGGTATATGTGACTTTCCAAGTTGCTCGATTCATCCTCCGTGGCTAGGACTAGACTACCTCCACAAAGGACAGGGAAATTTCCATGGTATAAGGAGGACTAGGCAGTTTTCTGGATCAACAGGTCATCGTTGCTTCTCTCTTCTTCCTCCCAGTTCTCCCTCCCCCTGTGCAAAATGTACAGGTTAAGCTTTAAAACTACCAGGAAAACGCCCCATCCCTAGCACTGTGCCTCTGTCTGGATCCGTAGGTATAATCTGCTCACCTTCTCAACAGGTATCTTAGTTCCCCTGTCTCACCCCCTACAGTTCTGATGCCTGGCTAGCCCTATCACACCCAACTAGTAGTTTCATTCCTTTTTTAAAAACGGATGTCCAGTTTTACCCATATGACCCTCTCTTTCCCAGAAACTATGCCAGCATCGTTCTCTCCAAACTTGCATGTTGGCATAGGTCTGGTATGGGCATCCCTTCTCCCTGCTTCTCTGTTCATTCCCCTCCTTGGCACTGCCCCCTCCCTGCCCGCCTGTCTGGCATCAGCCCGTGTCCACTCTGCCCTGCAACATCCAGGGGCCATCCTGTCCTGCCTTTCCTGCTCTTCTAGGGCTCTCCAGCCCCCTGCCCGCCCCCGCCAAACCCACTTGTAACTGGCCGGGGTCCGTGCGTCCGTCGGTCAGTCAGTCCTTCCACGCTCGGAAGCCTTGGCTCCCGGGGTCTCTCTCCTCCTCCCTCTCCCCGGGCTCGGGAGATCTAGGGGGTCTGTCAGCCCGCCCCACCTCCCCGCCCAGAGGGGTCTCTCTCTCCGCGGTCCTCTCCTCCCCCATCCCCCCACCCCCACCCCCCAGGGCCGCGCAGTCCCAAGTCTCCTCCCCCGGAGCAGGAACTGTCCCGCCCGCTCCAAGCCCGCAGACCCCGGCCACCGCCTGGAGGAATCTGGGTGGGGAGCCTCTGCTGTCCCCGGAGCCGTCCCCTGCGCGGTCCCTCCAGCGCCCCGGGGCTGCGGCGGCCTGGGCGGGCTTGCGTGCGCCCCGCGCCTCGACCCTCGGCTCCTGCACCTCCGGGACCTCCCGGGACCGTCCGTGTGGCCACTCGCGTCCCCCCCACCGAGGCTGCGGGAACTTTGCCGAAGCCCGAAGCCCGGGCGGGTGAGTGGGGGGCCCGGGCAGGGTGGAGAGGGGCTGGGGGCTCCGCGGGGCCGGAGAGGGCGGCTGGGGCGGGGTGGGTGTGCTCGGCCGGGCTGGGGGTGTCGCCCTGCCCCGCTCCCTGCCCTATGGGGGCCGAGCCGCCTCCGCCGCCGGGCGGGTGCGCCGGGCCGACCGCGGCGGCGGCGGCTGCGATTGGCTCAGCGGCCCCATCCGGGGACTGGGCGCAGCGCTGCTCGTTCGCCCTAAAGGTACCAATATGGCGGAGGTGAGCAGGGAAACCGGGCAGGAGCGGCGGGGCTGGACCGGGCGCCCGCCGGGCTCGGGAAGCTGCCCGGCCGGCCAAGGTCCCCCTGGCCGGCCTCTGCGGCCTCCCTTTGGGCCGGGTGGTCGGCACCGGGGCCCTCCGGGAGGCGACCAGGCCGGTGGCGGGGCTGGCTGGGGGGGCGGGAGCGGGCTCGGGCTCCTCCGGGACTAGGCCGCGGCGACGGCGGCGGCAGCGGCCGCTCCGGCTCGGCGCCGGCCCCAGCCCGGCCGGGGGATGGAGAGGGGACCGAGGCGCCCGGCCAGGGCCAGGCTTGGCCCGGAGATGGTCGCAGAGCCCGGCTCCGGGGATCCCGCCCGCCAGGGGCGACGCGGGGAACTGGCGGTACCCGCTCCCTGCTCTGGGCTGGAGGTAGGTGGGTGGAAACCGGCGGAGCCTCCTTCGACCACCACCCCCCCCCAACCTCCGGGGGCCGGATTGCGAGGTGGGCTGCGGGCTGCGCCACGGCCACCGCTCCGGGGCCGGGGAGGCGGAGGGAGCGGAGGCTGTCCCCTCACCCCGCGAGCGAGCGGGCACTGGGGGGATCTCCGGCCCAGAGCCGGGGCTGCGCTGCCCCGGGGCTTGGGACGGCACTTTCCTCTGAGCGGCGGGATGCGCCCCTTCTTCTGCGGGAGACGTGCGGGCGGAGCTGGGGGAGTCTGCGGTCGGAGGGCGCCCCAGGGGAGCAGGTTAGGACCCTCCCCCACTTTGTCCCGCACCCCGAGCTGCACCCCCAGCTCCCCGGCCCACTTTAAAGCGTTTGGACGCGGGGCTGGGGGGGGCGCTGCCCGGGCTCCCCCGGGATGATGGCCCGCGGCGAGGGGACGGAGCTGTCCCTGCGCGGAGTTGGCGATGGAGAGGGCAGCCCCCCCACCCCAGTCTGGAGCTCGCCCGCAGGCCCGGGAGGGGGAGCGGACTTGTGCGGCGGCGGAACGGGGGGAGCGGAGCGGGACGGGCCGACGGAGGGAGGGGCGGGCGGCGGGCGGGAGGGCTCGCAGGCCGGGAAGGGGTCGTGGTGGGAGCCGCGCTCCGCCTGGGGCAGCACCGGAGGAAGCGAGCAGCAGCATCCCCGGGACGGAGCCGGGGCGGAGAGCGGGAGCAGCTGCATCCCGGGGGCCGGGACGGGGGCGCAGGCGGCTGCGCTTCGGCGGACGGGCAGGCTGCGCCCCGGGCCCGGCCTCCCGCACTCGCCCGGGGGCTGGCTGGAGGGAGCGCGGCGGGCCGGGCCGGGAGGGCAGGGGAGAGGTGTGGCGTTGTTACAATGGGGGGTCGGTAGGCTCGCTCCCGCGGCGGGGCCGGGGCGAGGCGGGGATGCCCGGGAGGGATGGCGGGGAGCGGCGGCGCTACCAGCCCTTTGCGCCGGTTTCGCTTCTCCGAAGCTTGGTAACTTCCTGAGCGAAAAGGGCGGCTGGAAGTTGCCGGTTCGCGCCGGGCTCCTTCTCCCTGGGCCCGCGGAGAGTCTGGGGCGCGGGGGACTTGGGGAGGAAGGGGAGGCGGCCGGGAGGGGCCGGGGGCAGGGGGAGCGGGCCGGGCCGGCGGGCCGGGCTGCGGCTCCGGTGCGGGCAGCGGCCGGCGCCGCCGCGGGGCTGCTTGCGGCCCCGCCTCCCGGCCGTCCCGGAGCCCGCCGCGCGCCTCTCCTCTCCGGGCTCGGCGCCGTCCAGCCCCGGCCGGGCCGCCCTAACCCCGCTTCTCTTCTTCTTCTTCTCTCTCTCCTCTCTAGGCTTCCTTTGGAAGTTCGAGCCCAGGTTTGTCCCGTTTCCTTCCCCCTTCCGTGGTCCCAGCGGGCGGCGAGTGGTAACGGGGCCCGGAACAGCTCTGGCCCGAGGCAGTCCCCCCAACTGCAAACTCTCTAGATGCTCTCGTCGCTCCCTCCGTTTCATTTTGTATCCTATGAGTTAATTGTTCGAGGAACAAAACAGTCGTAGTCTTTTTTATATGACTTTTTTTTTAAACGGGACCAGTTGGGAAAATTCACCTTTAGTTCCACTGAAGTTAAGCGTATAGGTAACAAAAATGAATGTTTGCTTTTTAAATAGTATGTGTCTTGACTCTTAGCCATCAAATTTGGGGCAGACCTGGAAAACACTCCTTTAGGAAGTTTTCTTGGAATACTGTTGAGTCTACTAACTTCAGATTTTGCTTTGAGATTTTGAAAGAGATTGACTCCACTTAAATTTTGACAGTTACTTGTTCATTCTGGAAGGGGAAACACATGATATTGCCCCGCACCCCAATTTGTTTTGACTTTTACATAGATTAAAATTTTTTGCAGATTTTGTGTTGGGAATCCAAGTTGGCTGTTGTCTTAATTATCATCTATATAATGAGAAGGTTAGATTAGAAGATCTCTAAAGTCCCATCCAGTTCTGTTTATGACTGTGATCATAAAGGAAAAGTCTAATAATAAAGGAAAAATTAAGAGTGAACAGGGAAGGTGACTCTTTAAGATGCTCTCAGTAAAAACTGTCATTTAACTGAGTATCATCCTTTAAACAGACTTCTTTAAGTAGCATTAAGTAATTTATCACCAAATTACTTAATATTTGAGGTTAGTGGAATCAATATCATTACTCTTAAGTAAGTTGGTTTTAGTATGCTATAAAGGGATTTAAAGATGATTGTCAACTAGAATACATTCTGGAAAATGTTTTTAAAACTTAATCCAGCAGAGGGTAATTCCCTCTCATAGACTAAATTTTTTTTTAGCATTAATTGATAAAAACAAAGCAGCAGCAGTCAGTACATTCCCATTCACGTGGAATTGTGACACAGAATTCTAGATTGTCTACAAATTTTTAGAAAGACATCTGAAGTGAGCTATGAGCAAACCAGTGAGAGCTATCATTTCATGAGCCTAGAAAAGTTATTTATTAAAGCTCAGGATTCTCCAGGTTGACAAATTTTTCTTATAATTTTTTTTAATATCCTAATTGTGAATTAAAACATTACTATCCCAGTCTGTGCTTTATACATTTCTTTGTAATAATTTGTGTTCAGGAAAAGAAAGCAAAACTCACACCACTGTCATAATTCCAGCCACTTTAGATGATGATGAAGTTGTTTTGGGTTTTTTTTTTAACTCAGCTACCTACTGTTGTATAGATACACCTAAGTGAAAAGAAAAGTGAATTTGATGACAAGACATCATTGTCTTGGTAACCAAACAGAATACATCTTGTTTTAAATTAATCAACTAATGTATATATTGCAGGCACATTTTACCAGATTGTGGGGCTACCAGAGACCTTTAGGATCATAGTAGCATATAATTTTGCAATTAAAAGGACATATAGAATCTATACCTTTAAAGTAACATGAAATCTGGTTGGCAGGACACAATGTAATTAAACCTCAGCCCTGGAATACGGAAAATGGTCCCAGCAGTTACTCAAAAAAACAATTTAGTGGCATATATTTTGGTTTAGAGCCTTCAAATTCATACTTCTCTCTGGAAAAAATAGTCACTTTATGATTCCCAAAACTTTAATGTTTTGGTGGGTATAGCCATCTCATCAGGCAGCCTTTTTTTTTTAAGTTTATCATATCAGAAATATACTTAAAAGAATTACATTCTATAGCAGTTGTATTAACTTTTAGGAATATTGGTTGAGGTTTTGTGAAGTCAGAAGAAGCACTGAAGTGGTTCTGGGATTTTTCAGTAGTAAAAGTAAGTGGTCTAGTTGAATGAAATACCAGTGTGAAATGGAGGAAATGGAGGAAAGCCATAGGGCTCCTGGGGTTTTGTCACCAGTTTTCCTTTTTTTCTTCTGTTTTGTTTTCTTGTTGAAGAATACTATTGCCTCTGCTTTTAATTTTGACGTAGAAAGAGATATGAGCAAACCAGTGAGAGCTAAAGAATACAGTATTATATGTGAAAATGTTTTAATAACATGTCTTTCCTCCAAATAATCCTTAAGAACTTTAAAATTTTTTATCATTTAACTTTAAAATGTAATACAAAATAAGATTTATAATAACAGTTTTATCTTACCATAACAATGAGGCTTTATGGAAATGAAAAAGTGATAACCCTTTCAAAGAAAGAATTGGTTGGCAATAGCTGTTTTGAAGAAAATACACAGATAGACAGTAACTAACCAGGTGTTAAGAAATTGGTTTTTTTTCCTATTTGAGAAATGTTTTCTTCCTGTATGAACTAAATCACCTTTAAAAGGCAGTGGATTCTAATGAGGTATCTTGGTTCATCTGTTAAACACCTATTTTAAATACAAAGAAATGTGGGAAGATACAGTGATAATAAGGACTTCTGCCCTCTTGAAACTTAGAATCTGTAAGCCTAAGAAACTAAATCTCTTTTTGCCTTTAGGCAGTGTTCTGATTTTGCTTTTATTTGTTCAGACTTTTTAAGTAAGTTTGACTTCGTCAAGTCAAAAAGAAAATCACCTTCTTGGGTACCAGGATCCTAGCTCTAGAGCAGGCCTGCACAACCTGCAGTGGGCAGGCTGCTTAAGGTACTTGTGGCACCTCAAAGGATTTCGTTGGCCTTAGAAAAATGTAGAGGAAAATGTAGAGGAAATCCTTTGGTGGGCCGAAGGTTGAACAGGCCTGCTCTGGAGCTAGCTTCAGGGGGCCCTTAGAAGCCAAGTAGTCCAACCTGATGACAGAGAAGAGGAAGCCAAGTTCCAGAAAGTTTAAATGACTTGGCTAAGGCCACACAGATGGTAAAGTCTGTGTCAGAGCCAGGTCCACTGACTCTTAGAGTGGTGTTGTTTTAGACCTGTGTGCCATGCACCGTTCTTCTGAACCATGTCTACACCAGCTTCTTTGAAGAAGCTGAAAAGGTAGTATGCCTTTTCTCTAGGTGGTAAGGCTAAAGTAGTATTAATGGAATCTTGTGTTAATGTGCTTTATTATATAGGCTACAAGTAAACGAATTTAATGAAACACAGACGTATAGTTTAGAGAATGCAGTTTTACTTTGTATTTTGTGGATATAGCAAATGATTTGGATTATTTTTATTATAGTTGGGTCTTTGTCTTCTGAGGATCATGATTTTGACCCCACTGCTGAAATGTTGGTACATGACTATGATGACGAAAGAACTCTTGAAGAAGAAGAAATGATGGATGAGGGCAAAAACTTCAGTTCTGAAATAGAAGATTTAGAAAAGGTAGGAAGATTATCTTATGGTACTATTCAACATAACAAGGTTAACAATGTTTAAAAAAGCTTAATGTGGAGAGATATGCAGGATTTTTGCTATTGTAGTACTTTACATTTTTAGAGCACAACTAATAATTTCTACTCTGTTACTTCATCTTATCCTCACACTACCTCTTTGAGGTAAGCTGGTGACTACTATTATAGCCATTTTACAGTTGAAGAAACCAAAGCACAATCATGTAGTGACTTATCTAAGGTCGTAAATTAGTTATTTGCAGATCAAATTAGAATGTAGGTCTCTTGAATCCCAGCCCAGCATTCTCTCTAGAAGACCACACTGCCTTGCCAGTTTAGTCCTAAATTTATGCCAGATAGGGAATACTTCTAAAATATTTAAAGAGGATGTATTGTATTTCACTTTTAAATGTTGATCAGTAAAACACTTCCTAAAATCATCTTTTAAAAATCAAACATAATCAGATGCCCTATTTTTCATGTCTCTTTCAAAATCAATAGTTATTTGCCATAAAAAGAAACTTTTAAACATGCATATAAAACAAAACCAGATAGGAGAGGTATTCCTTGGATGCTAGCTTCTGGGGCCTAGCCACATTACTGAAAAAGTTTTATCAAGTATTACAAATGAGTGGTGTTCAATAAAGAACTGAATTACATATGTTACATACCCATTACTCTTATGTCTAAATTAATAAGAGAAAAATGTGTAAATGGGTAGGGAACTTCACCTTGGTTTAAGAGGATCTTTATGCAAAGGATATTTTCTTTTTGAAAATTCCATTTTACTTCACTTCTTTATTTAATGCATCTTAGTATTTTTGGGTGTGTATGTATGTATGTATGTATTATAAGGATGGGGAAGAGAGAAGGTAGGACTATAATTTAGTTTTTCCTTCTGATGGTAAGCACCTGGTTAACATGTTCCTTACCCGATTTTTTGTATCTCAGGGTCATGTTTAAATGTCTAGTAATTATTAAAACTTGGGTGCTACATTGATCACATAAAGCCTTATCTATCTAAAACTAGCCTCCTTATTTGTGTATTTCTACCCAGACTAGAGTGAAGGTTATTTTGTTAGTAACATCCCTTACTTAATAGTAATGATAATACTCATGATTTATATAATACCTTTCTTCTGGAGAATTCAAAGGACTCCATAGCCTCAAAATAGACCGGTGGCCTGAGAAGGTGATATTATTACCCTCGTATCACCGGTAGAGAAACATCAAGGTCTCTTAATCTGAGGTCATCTGTGAGGCGGAGACTAGAACCTCAGATTCTGCCTACTACTGTTAAGTGTTCATCTCTTCCTTCTTCTGCCCTGCACAGTTGCAGTTAGATATATTTAGTTTCTATATTTTATTGACAATCTGAAGTTTGAGCAGATATTCGAAGATAGATACTCTTTGCTCATTTCCTGAAATGAGCAATTTAGGGATATAACTATTAGGAAATTCTCTGATATGAGAAGAAGAAAATTATCCCTTATTTACCCTGTACTGGGAGATGGAAGAGTGACCAAAAATTTTATTTGGTGGTTAAGTTGACAAAAGCAAATGCTTGACTACCTGTTGAACCTCTTTACTGCAATTCAACTTTGGACCTTGCCCAGGCTAGCTTCTCTCCATGTTCAAAAATATGTCCTTTCTACCTTTAAGGGCAAAAGATTTTGTGAGCCAGGTTTATTAGGTAGCTTTGACCCATAGTAGCAAAACTGTAGCGTAGAATTGAAAAGTTAGACCACTAGGGTAGTGGTTTAACTTTCACATGTTACTCAAGAGTTAGAAAGCACAGTGCTTTCCCTGATAAGTAAGGGACAGAGGTCGGAGGGAGAAGGGAAAAATGTAAATCTCCCCTTCCTCCATTCAGTCAGGCAATACTCTACCAAATTTGAAAGTTTGACTTGGGATCTTTTGAGTTCTGTCTTGAATGTACTTGTGGATAATCCATTCTTCCCAGACAGAATAGAATGGAAGCAAATTTCTTATATTTGAATTTTAAATCTCAAAATAGTATGGAATAATTGAAATTTGATTGAAATTCTTTTCTGTGACTTTGAGTGAGTGTTTTTTAACAATGGCTCATTCTCATTTTTCAGTGTTGTATTACATAAATTTAATTTATTATCATGCTTGTCATACATCTTTTGTTTAGAAGATTATGTTGGAATTGGGGGGGTTGTTTTGTTTTATCTAAAAACTTATGTATAATGGGGCAGCTAGGTGGCACAGTAGACAGAGTGCCGGCCCTGGAGTCAGGACGACCTGCGTTCAAATCTGACCTCAGATACGTGATACTTACTAGCTGTGTGACCCTAGACAAGTCACTTAACCCTGATTGCCTTACCCCCAAAAACAAATAAATAAATAAAAATAAAAACTTATGTATAAGCTGATTTAAGATTTTGGAATGCTTAATTGAGAAACGTGGTTAATACCCACAATATAGAATCCCACAATTTTTTTTAACCAGTTTAACCATCATCCTATAGATTACATATGTGTCATGAGGTAGTAGATAATGCATTGAATGTGAAGTCAGGAAGACTGAAATTTAAATCCCATCTCTGTCTATGAGCAACTTACTTTACCTCTCTGAGCATCAGAAAACCTCTCAAACTCTTGTCTGGGATGGCCTTGTTGGCTCTGTGTTGGTGTAGGGAGTTGCCACACCATCTTATTTCACATTCCTAGGTGGGAAGGTAGGGAAGAGATCTTTTTTTCTGGAATCCACTTTAATAGGTGGTTTGACCTAGTTTTAGTGAACTTTTTTCAAAATTAAAGGAAAAAAACTTTAAAGAGTTAAAGGAAAAAATTATTACCAATAACAAGCATTTATTGAGTTCTCAGTATGTGCTAGACTGGAGGTCCAAAGAGGTATAGAACATAATCTCTGATCTCAAATAGTGTGCAGTCTGACTGCTCTATTTTCATTTACCTATTCACAGAGCAATATATGATATCATAGTTATGATTTTCATTTTATTTGTAAATTCCCAATAATAAATTATCCACTCCTTGTTGATATTCACCATGAGCTTTGTAGATCAAAAAACCCCAAACTGTAAGCCCACAGAGATACTTATTTTTCTATGCCCAATTGGTTCAGCTTTTGACCTTTAAAAAGCATTTTAAAGCTTTACCTTCATTTTCTTATTGCCATCTCTCTACTGGAAATTGGTGGTAGCAGAAGGCAGATAGAAAGATTTATTGGCTAGAGCCAAGGTAGGCACACAGTGCCAGATCAGCAGGACTTTGTCAAGCTCATGTATTTTTTAAGGATATTTGATTATTTTCTAAAGAATTAGTGGGTTTTTATCCACAATATTAAATAAAAATAAGCAGACTAGCTAATTCAAGAATCTTTCACTGGTGAAGGTACTGCCTCCATTAATACAGATTGCAATGCCTTTATAACTAAGTAGATGGTCTTTAGAGTTGCTGTGGATTAAAAAAACATCACCCTGCTGCCAGTCTGGTGCTAAAGTTTTGAATTTAGGTAGACCAGACCTTTGACCACAGACAATAATCAGTCAGCAGGACAGTATTTAATGCCTTCTCCTCTCACCCTTACCCCTCCACCTTGGGCTGGACCTTCCAGAACTTAAGTTCTGTTAGGGACCTCCAAGCCATGATGAGGCATTGCAGTAGGACTTTAGTGGGAGAAATAGAGTAGTAGAGATAGAGGCGTAAAAATGATTGGAAAGCACCATATTTATACTTTGTTCAGTGGCATGATACTTTTATGAGTTTGTCCTTACTATGTTTTTTAACATGAAAATTTTTATAACAGTAATAAGTTTAATACATATTGGTTCATTCATGCATTTGTAATTACTACTTGTCACGTTATTTGATCGAAGCATCATTTTTAGTGTCTCCTGTAGATAACAAGAAGCTAGGAAGAAGTTATCTTATCAAGAGCACTAACAGTTAAACCTCTTAATGGCTCTCGTAAAGGTTTGGTGAGAGAGGAGTTTAAACTAACTAAACTAATGTGTATTCTTTCAATGTTGTCCCTTTCTTTTGATAACTCTTTCATTTTAAAGCATGGATTTAAAATGTTCTTAATTTCTACCATTAAAGTCTTTAGGAGAGGTTTTAATTTTTAAAAATCTGTACTGCTATACTGTACTGTACTGTTGAATTCCAGCAGACACAGATCTGTTGAGGAAAAAATCTCCAAGCCTTTTAAAAAGATTAGTGAAATTCGGTAAATTATATAATTAAGAAATGGAATACTTAAAATTAAATTAGAGTTAATAAAATGCCTACAAAAAGGCACTTGAGTCCCTGGAATAGGACATTGTATGAAAAATCTCAGATTCTACTACTGATTCACTGTGGATAAACTCATTCAGTTTTTAAGAACTTGATTGCTTTAGCTCTAGATTGATTTTTTAAATTTATATGTGGAGCAGATTAAAGCAGCTTTTCTGTCTCTGACATCTGTAGTGCTTAACAAGTTTTTAAGAGACTGTTTACATTTTTAGCAACGCCCCACTCTGTATACTTTTAATATGTTTACTACTCAGAAATCATTTCTCCTTTCAAATTGCATCATGATTCATTCTTAAAATGGACTGTATTCTGTAGATCTGTACATACGAATGTACATAAGGCAATAAATCAGCTTTTCAAAATCACATAATAAATTTTGATGCCCAAAAGCATGTAAGCTAGCAAATTATGTGGGTGACATTTGTTTGGAATTGGGTAAGATGAATTGCCAAAAATTACAAATAAATTGGTTAACAGGATCATCAGTTTAGAACTAGAAGGGACTTTAGAGGCAATTTAGTCCATCTTCCTCAATTTGTAGATGAGGGAACTAAGAATCAGTAAGAAAGTGACTTGCTCAGCGTCACACAGGCATAAACAGCAGCAACAAGATTTAGAACCAGGTCTTTTGACTCCAAAGTAACAGTTTTTTCCACTATATCTGTCCTAACCCATGGACCTTCTGTGTGTGTGTGTGTGTGTGTGTGTGTGTGTGTGTGTGTGCGTGTATTTTTTTTTAATTAAAATAATTAAGGGAATATAGCAAATGTAAGTTCAGTTTGATATGCATTTAAACTTTAATGAAGAAAACAATCTACAATAGTTTCAAAATTATTTCTGTCTACAGTAAAATATGACAATTTCAGAATAGTTTATACATAAAAGACTCTGACTTAGTGACTGAAGAATATCAGTAACTGAGATTGACAGTGTCAGAATCAAAGCTGAATTTATGACCTCAAACAAGTGACTTCCCTCTTCTGTACTGAAATGCTGTCATCTTTTAATGATCCTAGTAAATTCATTTCAGTTCAGGTGTTGGCTAAGCACCTAGTGTAGGGCTCAACGTTAAAGATACAAAGCAGATATATCTTCTTTAAGAAGCTGATGATCCGGCAGGGAAGGGAGATACAAAGAACTGATACTAGTTGGGGTAAAGTGAATGCATAGAGAGTGAGGAGAGATATGGGGAAGGAAGGGGTGATCATTGCCTTTGGGGGTTATCTGGGAAGGCTTCACGAAGGAGAGGGGACACTTAAGTGTGTTGGGACAGAAAAGTCTAGGAAACGTTTTTCAAGCATGGGAGACAGACTGTCCAAACACACGAGAGGCAGAGAGCACAGAATGAGGTAGAGGAATGGTGAGTAGACCAGTTGTTTACATTGTGAGCTTGGAAAGGAGAATGGTATGACATAAGGCTGGGAAATAGTTTGTCACCAGATGATGGGGGCCTTTGAATGGCAGGAGAAGTTTGTATTTTAGCCTAGAGACAGTGAGGAGACACTTAACAGTTTTAGAGCCAGGTAATAATGCAGTCAGATCATTGTATTAGATGACTTTGGAATGAGTGTGAAGGTTGCACTGGGGAGGGGAGGATCCTCCAAAGAATTCTGTTACAATTATTGAAGCAGAAGTAATGAAAACCTGAAGTAAGATGTTGGTACAGTAGGTAGAATGGAGGAGACATAGAGATATTTGCAGATATAAAACTAAAGGGACTTAGAAACTGATTAGATGGGCTTGGGGAGAGAAAAGCTGTCAGGGTTAGGGAGAAGGACAGGTCAAAAGTGATTGGTAGGAAGCAGGTCCAGCTGAGAGCAACAAGATGACATAAGGAGAAGCAGGTTTGCAGAAACAAAGTATACGTTAAGCGTTATGTATTGTATGAGGCTCAAGTTTTTAAAGCATGGACTGTTATATATGCTTTTGATTACATTTTAATTTTTGATCAAAAGATTAAAAATTTAACATACAGAAGCTCAGTAAAATTGTACAGTCACAAATGGCATGCAGTAATCACAAATTCAACAAATAGTACTTGTCATGAATGAAATACATATGACAAAATTTAGATCAGAACTCAAGTCTCATGTAATACATAACACTATAGATTTTGTACCATACCTATTGTTGTTTAAGAGCCGTATTTGCTTATTGGCTGATGCATTGGAATCTTAAATGATGGAAAAGATATAGCTATTTGGGGGCCCATGGGTGAGACTTACTTCTTGAATGCCCCTAACATGTACGTCTCCATCTCTACCACATTCGTAACAAAATACAACTTTGCTTCACAGTCTTTGCTCTCTTGGTGGTAGATTAGCATCTGGCTGCCTTGACTGCTGTTCCCACAGCCCTTTGTCTTTTAGGGTAGAGCAGTACTGATCAATATTCTGTTTCTCATCAGACTTCCCATGAGCTTCATCTTTCAAGTCTGGTCAACCAGGAGGTCTCCCACCTTGCTTCCATAGCCTATACATGAGAAGGTGGTTTGGAAGGCATTTTTTCTCTGTCACAGACCTTTCCCTCTGCAATCAAGTCTTTCCTCAAATAGTTTTACTGTCTGCAGCAACTCTTTATATCCAATTCACTCTTTCCCTCTTTCCAGTTGACTTCAAGTTTTTGAACCTCAGTGACTAGGAGGATGGTGGTGCTCTCAACAGAAATATATAAGTTAGGAGAGGGAAGATTTTGGAAGAAGATAATGAGTTAAGTTTTGAACATTGTTGAGTTTAAGGTGTGGTGGTACATACAAGTAGAGAGTCCAGCAAGCAATTGAAAATGAGGGAATAGAATCCTGGGGAGACGTTAGTACCAGGGTCTAGATATTTAAGAGTCTTCTGCATGGTGATAATAATTTAAGCCATGAAGGTAATTGAGATAGTTAAGGGAGGGAGAATGGAAGAGGGCCAAGGATAGCATTGAGGGACTCTCATGCAAGTATGACAGAAGAGAAACAAGCAAAGAAGACCAAGAAGAAACCATCAGAAAGGTGAGAGAATTAGGAAGAGAAAAAGAGACTTAAGAGGGTGGAGTCAATAGCGTCAACTGCTATAGATGGTCAAGGAGAAATAGGTATCACACAACTGTAGCTTCACATCAATAACATGAAAATATTGTTATATAATAGCCAAGGCCAGATATATTAGTAAACTTTTAGCAGCAATTTCCAGCTGCATATTTTCTAATTAGAGTGAAGGATAAACTGATGGATAAAGAAAAGCTTCATTCTTTCTGGAGGTGTAAGGACATATCAATTAATATAGTGCCAGTAAATTCTCTCTCGTAGTGAGAAACTTGGAGAAATTCAAAAGCAACCTGAGTCAGCGACACCTAAAGCACCAGGTTCAGTGGAAGCTTTAACAAGGGTCATCTTTGAACTGAGACAGAAAATGAAAAGCATCTGCACAAAAAACAACTATTTGGGGACTTTCAATTTATTGTGTTCTTCTTTGTAGTAGTATATTGAACTCATCAACTAAAAAAAAGTCTAGTTTTATTGAAGTTGTGATGTTTCCACCTCAACTCTAGTTAATTACCTTGTTCTTTTGAAGCACTCTAAATAGTTTAGTTTCTTTGTATGCTTTTCAGAACATGCTAAATAAATTGTAAAGATAGTTTGTTTACTTATAATTCATTAATGGGCCATTTTTGCAGAGTACATGTATGTTGTTTATATTTTTGTTTGACAAGGAAGGAAATATGCCTTTAGAAGATTTGCTGGCATTCTATGGCTATGAATCAACAATTCCAGGAATAGCAGGTTCCAGTGCGAATAGCTCCCCAAGTGAACTTGCAGATGAATTACCAGATATGACACTGGACAAGGTAAGTTGGCACTAATTGTATTAATAATCATTTAAACTTTTTAAAAAATTATCTTCTTTGGTTCCTGGCTGTTTTTTTATTTTTTTATGGATATTGATCTGTTGTTCAGTTCAGTTACTAGGTACTGAGTTGGATGCTGAGGCTATATAAAGCAAAAGTGAAGCAAGCGGCCCTTATCCTCAAGGAGCTTACATTCTAGTCTTGCCTTTCATGTTTTTCCCTTGCCCTTGGCTTCATCTTAAATAAGAATGTAAGCTCCTAGAGGGTAGAGACTGTTTCATTTTTGTCTTTATATTCCTTAATTCCTGGCACAGTGCCTGCAGCATAGTTGGCACTTGTTGATTGGCGGGTTTGGTTTTTTGGGGTTTTTTTTTTGGTCACAAATAATTTATAAGCAGTAATTATTTATAATTCTACATGAGCTTATGAATTCACGCATGGCTTTGGTCTTTATTTTGATGGATACGATGTATCTAAACTTAGATACACCTGTAATTCATGATCCTGAAGAAACATTAAGTGTAGTGACACCTAAATTAACGTGTCCTCTAGGCATGGAACTCCTTTTAACCAAGTTGGACAGTTTGGGCAAGCTTAAGATCCCATATTCAACTTCGGATCAGTGTCATCATAGGTCCAGAAGTGGGAGATTTTGATCTCTCAAATTCAGGTCCCTCTTAGGAGTTGTCAGCAGGCTCACTTGACTTAATAGCCACTGGCCTGAAATTTTCTTGATCTAGTTGCCTGGGAGTAGATGAGACGCTACCCTAGGGATATTCTAAAGAGAGACAGAAATCTCACACACACACACACACACACACACACCATTCCCCCTTCTCAGTTTTACCAGAATACAAGAATACAGAATATAAGAATTTTAATCTGTCCAGGGAAAAAGAAAGAGAATTGTGAAGAGAATTCACAACCCAAGACTTGGGTTATTTCTGCTTTATTAATGAAGTTTCTAATAATAATGTTCATCATCTGAATATGGCCTATCCATTAGTAAGGTTATTACTTCATAATTCTATGTTTTTTAAAGGTAAAGATTACTTATGTTGTGCTTATAAAGAAGTGAAATGTTACATGTGGTAACATATTGAAATGTTTAATTAAATAATTAAAGAATTAATTGATAGGAATTAATCAGGTTTTTAATGTCCAAAGGGATTGAGATTGGCCTCAGATAGATGGGATTTGCTAGGTACTTTTCTGATAAAATTTCAAACCACAGTATAAGGCATAAGTCATGTCATAAGCTTGAAGAATAATTATGACAACTGTATTTCATATTTTTAAAAAATATATAGCACAGGACTTTTTTCCAGTACTTTATCATCTTTTGGTGGTTTTTGGCAAGGTTTGTTTGTGTATTAGATGTTGTTTCTTGTGAAAGTCCGTCTTAAAAATTGGTTTACTGCTTCAGGCATACCTTTTGTGTTTTCACAGATTAAGTAGAGTGAGAGTGTTATTGTTCAGAGTTTTCAAGAATTAGAGATTAATATAGTAGTTGGTAAAATATAGCCAAGCTCCAATTGAGATCATATTTATAATTCTTGGACCAAGATTACAGGAGAATTTGTAATCCACTTCTTTCAAAGGCTAGGTGGTTTCAGGCAATTTTTAATTTGTTCAGAATATGATATGGCATAAAGGATGATTTTCCAAAATTCTAATGCAATTTGCTCACCTCTAACTAAAGCCTCCCTTCTTTCTCATGTAGGAGGAAATTGCAAAAGACCTCTTGTCAGGTGATGATGAAGAAACACAGTCTTCTGCTGATGACCTCACACCATCAGTGACTTCACATGAAGCTACAGATTTCTTCCCTCGACCCTTAAGATGTAGGAAAACTAATAATTATTGGTTAATTATAGCTTTATTGCTGTAGGTTGATGACATTTTCTTGGGTTTAATAGCTTTATATTCAGAATATTTTAAAATGACTACCCCAATTCCATCCAAATGCTAGTATAATTCAAATCTATTACCTTTTGTCAGAGCATAGGAAAAATGTAATGCCTTTTTAAATAAATAAACTAACCTCATCTTGCTGAATTATCTCTGTTTTCTGTCATCAGACTCATCTGTTGCTATAGTAACTAATCTTAGTTCAGTCATGAAATTTCACAGAAGTTTTTTGTTGGTACAGAAAGGTCTTCTTGCTACCTTGGTTTTGAAGATCCATCAGTATTCAAAAAAAGATATTTATCATTGTTGGTATTTCATTTGACTCTCTTTTTTCCTTCGGTCCTGAGAGTATACCAAATTGGAGTATATCAAAGCTCAAAATCATTGAATAAGCTATTGAATAGAAATAGCACCACTATCCTTTACATCTTTCCTCATATACAATGTAAAACTATCTGGCTTGCCTTCTATCAAAGTATGAAAAATTATTTGAGTTATCCAACTATTTTTGTAAAGAGTTATAGATAACATTATTCTGATGGACCTAAGGGTGGCTCTAACGTATGTGTCAGTTTCTGGGTTACAGTAACCAGAATTTACAGTACTCTGAATTTTAAATAAACATTGTTATGCAGACTTGCTAGGTTTTATTTTACAAATGAAAATGTATATAGTTGTACACCATTTACATTTATGTTATTATAAGAACATAATACATATCCTGTTTCGGCTAATGTATAAAGACATACCATTAGTCTGCTAGATTCAAAACATTTTGTGCTTTTATGTTATTGTCTATATGCTCCTAAACAGATAAATTAACTTTTTTCCCTCTTTTTTGGGGATATGTGTACAGCTAATACTACTTACGATGGAGATAAGGAATCAGAGGGTGAAGATGTTGAAGCAGATCCTGGTAATTCATCTGAAGATTTAAGAAAGGTAAATGGAATAACTAATAATTCCCTCAGACCATTTGATCCAAACTGTCTTTTTTAACTAGTTGTAATTCAAAAAAGAAATTCTTTTTTTTTAACTGTGTGAAGTTGTATTTCTTAAATTACTCAGGAATGAATATTTGTTTTCAACATAACACTAAGCTCTTTTTTTTCCCTCCTAAACTTTCTTTTAGGAAATAATGGTGGGTTTACAATATCAAGCTGAAATTCCACCCTATCTTGGAAAGTACAGTGGTAATGAGAAGGGTAAGATTCTGAATTTTGAAGGCTTTTGCTTTATTAATTCACCCCTGTAATAAAAAGTGGCCCAGCTGTCCCAGAATTATTAAAACAGGTGCTGGATAACCAGTTCAATGGTATCAGGCTGTGTCAAGGTAAGCACAGAGAATCGAGGGATAGCAGACCTCACAGGCCATCAAGTCTGACTTTTACCTGCCAAGAATTCCCTCTACATCATTTCCACAAATAGCCTTTGCTTGCTGATTTCCAGAGATGGGGAACTCATTACATCTTCACTTTTGGAAAGCTCTGATTATTAGGAAGCTTTTCTTTGTACCAGGCCTAGATTTGTCTGGACATTATGAGAAGTGTCCAAACTGAACTTTTTTTTTTTAACTCAAAAACCTGCTTATCTGAGTGCTACTTCTCTACAGGTCTGCTGTTGCACCCAGACAGTCCCATAAATAGCAGATCGGTGCAACAGAAGCTTCTCCACAGCAGCACTCGAATAGAAAATGGCAGATTTGAATCATCTTTAAGGTCATGAGAATGTCATAGCTATGACCTTTTCAGAAGATTCTGAGTATTTACCAAGGAGAAAACACTTGCAGAAGAAAGAATAGGGAAAATCTACTTGTCCCATAGCAGAGCAGAGAAGCTGTGCAAGCAAGTGCTTGGGGTTCAGAATTTAATGGCTCTTTAGGAATAACATTGATAAGCTGGAGTGTGTCCGGATGAGGCCATCCCAATTGGTAAAGGGCTTCAAAACCAAGCCATACAAAGATCACTTGAAGGAATTAAGAAAGATTTCACCTGGAGAGGAGAAGACTTGGGGGATAACAAGTGGGGCAGCAAGAAATTGAATGGTTGCTTTCAGCCGTTTGAAGAATTGTCATGTAAAAGAATTAGACATCCTTTCCTTGGCCACAGGAGACAGAACTAAGAACGATGAATGTGTGGAAATTTCTGAAAGGCAGATTTTTGCCCAAGAGTAAGAAAAATCTTCCTAACTGGGGGAATGTTCAAGAGTGGAAGGGCCTGCCCTGGGACATGAGGAAGGTAATGTGCATCCCAGTTGAGAGAGTGGCAGGAGAGATGCCTGCTTAGGTGTGAGTTGGATTTGATGACCTTTGTGGCTTGTATTTCTGAGGTCCTCTAATTCTGATTGAGGCAGTTAAGCCTGTTATTCAGATTTATTGACTGAAATGGAGCACTGTTTGAACACAGCCATGCTGTTTCTCAAGCACAGATATTATAGTTGTTTCTTTTCCTTTCCCTTGGAAGCACAGCAGCTACTCCCAGACCAGATGTCAGTGCTGATCAGTACGGAAGCTTTAATCTCCATTTTTCTGGTCTGGATGGGTTGATCCCTTCTTAGGCAGCATGGTGCCTGCCCCTCCTGGCAGGGAGGCTTGCCATATGAGTGAAGACACCCAGTTGGCTTTAGCCTTCGTGCAGCACAGAGCTCCCAGACTCAAACAATTCACCGACCTCAGGGGTCCCCTAGGTGTAGGAATTACAGATGTGTAATCTGTACACACCTGGCTAATCAACTCCTACACTCCTGAAGGAAAGGGAGGATGATCATCTCCACTAGATTCAGCTCTCGTCCTGTCCCCAATGAAGTGGAAGCCTTTTGATGGCATAGGCTGCTTACGTCTTTGGAAGCCCCTATTTTGGAAGTACCCTAGCATAATACTTTAATAAATGCTCATTTCATTTAGTTTAATTTAATTCAGTCTGTCACTGTATTTCAAGATTGGGGGAGTGTTCTTTTTCTGTATTTCCCCACTCAATTTGAAATTATTCTGCTCTCTATCTGTTCACATCAGAATAGATACACATTGCAAGCTTGTTTTAAAAGTGTCAGGACAGTGCATGGGAGGGATAAGTTATTTTAATTTGGGTGTGAGATAGTGGGGAATAAAGATATATTTCCACATTTTATTTAGGACTTATTTCATTAGCTTCATTTGTTTTTCCCCTTTGAACTTAGGAAAACAAAAATAACATACACCACTGAGCACAGAAGTTAGGAGGATGGGGAAGAAGAGGAAAAACTTCCTTCTTTGCCCTTCCTGCCAGACCCTACTCTCAGATCAAAGGAAGATTGGCTGTCTTAGAACCAGAATCTTTAGCAGCAGCCACCTCTGACATGCTTTTCTTCTCTTGCTTCGAGGTGGTCGAGGAAAGCTGCCTTGACAGAAGTTATAATGTGGCTTTTGTTTCAGATTCCAGATATCCTGTCTAGGATCACTGTGGAGTGATTTTTGTGTCCAAAAGCCTTAAGTGACAGTCTCCCTTTCTTTGAATTCATAGAATGTTTTGCCTTCGTTAGTACTTATCAATTATACAAGAAAACTCTGAGGCATTCTACAAGCCTCACGTGAAAATCAGTGAACTTACTACTCCCTAGTCATTTTTTTAACCTTAATGTCCTGAGACTTCTATTGTAGCTACATTTTGAAATTACTGTGCACTTTTTAAAAGTCTTATCATTGAGGCCTGAGGGGAAGCTGGATAGTCATCCTACAAAGAGAGAGTAGTTATTGTACAATGCAGAACATTAGTTGATAACTTTCCAGAGCAGGGTCAACTGCATATGAGCCAATGGACAATGATAGTTTTTAGATTCATGACGTGCACCTGAAGAATTATAGGCTAATGTTTTCTTTTTCTAAAATACTCTCTTGCAAGTACAATGATTAGTATCTCTTTATAGTTGTGATCTGACAATTTTGTCAGTTCATTGCACTAACTTTTGTTTGGGAGGTCTAAGAAAAGTAATAGTTATATCTATATTTCAAAGACATTTTTTAGGTCTTTTGGGGAAAACTCAGTGACGGAGAAATATACTTTCTTTGGGTATTTCAACACTGATAGATTTATTAGCCTCTCTGGTCATGGTGATTAATTCTCATTTTCCCAGTGATTTCGTAAGACAAAAATTTCTAGGTAAATTAAGCATAGAGTTCCAATGGGGTGAAATTTTTCACAGCTTAATTTGATTACTTCATCATCATTATAAAGATCCTGCTATTGAGATTTTCATAAAATCTATCAGGTATTCTACTCCCTTTTGTGAATAGGATAAGAAACCTCTTCTTCCTGGTATCTCTCCACACCTCCCCATTCTCCCCCCCCCAAAAAAACCCCAACACCCTATCCTGATTAGCTATTAGCAGTCCTAGCCTCATGATGAGTAAAACTTTCCATTGAGAAAGAGGCTCTGCAGTGAGCAGACCAACTTACTGGTATCAGAAATCCATCCACTTCCTATTAAATAAGTCAAAGAATAGTTTGCAAGTTTCATAAGTGGATTCATTGTTTTTATAAATCGATGGAACTTTCTTTACCAGCATATGAAAATGAAGACCAGTTACTGTGGAGTCCTGATGTGGTTCTGGAGAGCAAAGTTAAAGAGTACCTTGTGGAGACCTCTTTAAGAACTGGAAGTGAAAAAACGATGGCTAGGACTTGTGAGGAAACACACACAAGGGATAATGAGCAGGTATGTGTTTGGTCATTTTCTGTTGAAACAAATCATCTCCAAATAAATTTCTTTAAGGAATTTTTGAGTAGTGACTACAGTCTCAGTTTTCTTAGGGTTAGCAACAAAGTATTTGTCTCATGGTCTTTATAATAAATTGTATGATAGGAGATATTTGTTCTTTATTAGGCTTTTTTGAACCTTGTTTTACATCAGACTTTTCTGTTTGGAGAAAATGCTGTCTGCAAGTTCAATATACAATAGTTCTGAATAACTGTTGAGCTCCCACAGCATACTGAACACTATATAGTGCTGAAGGCCTCTTCCTTTTAAACCACCTTTGTAGTCATACCTACCACTTATTTTTATTTCTGTGTCATCAGCCAGAGGGAACATAAAGAAATGTCTTTAGACAGATTCACATATAAATTTACAGCAGTAAACATGAAAATTTTCACAACTGGTACATTTCACATTTATTTATTAAATGGTTGGTGTTACCTGACACCTCGGCCAGTGATGTCTTTGGGAGCTAATCTGCAGTTTAGTCCTGCTTATTATTCCTCCTAGGGCTGGGGTATAAGTAAAGATAGGGAGGTGGTAGCCATGAGCTAGTTATCACCTTCCCTCACTCTGCAGAGAGCCTGGCACCATCCCAGCTCCCACTTTGACCTAGCATTCATCCCTCAGAAGAAGTAGCTCCAAAGGAGCCCTTTGGCAGCAGCAGAGCCACTGAGAGGAGCCCAGGGATGCTCTTCCCAGAATGGCAGTGGAAGGGGGCAAGAATAGCTTAGGAGCTTCAGCCAACACTGGCTCCCTGCACTTGGGTGAGCAAGATCTCAGCTGGCTCCACTTGCCTTCTCAAGCTGCAAAACAGAGAAAGAGATGAAAGGCCAGGGAAAAGTATGACAGAACAGCTACAGTAAAGAAATACAAAGTTCAAACTCATTTTCTAAAATTTGGTTTAAACATATGCTCATTTTCTTAATTGGCAGAATTAAGTATAAACTTTAGATGATTGACTTCAGTATTTTTTTCTCTCTATTGCTTAGGCACTATATGAACTTCTCAAATGTAATCACAATGTAAAGGAAGCAATTGAAAGATACTGCAGCAATGGAAAAGCATCTCAAGGTAAGAAGCCCTGGAAAAGAGGGTGATGGGAGGAGTGGAGGCCTATCTTAAGAATTCTTTGTATGTTCTTGATCTAGCTAAACAATGTAGTTCTGATCCACCAAAATGTTTTAATGTTTGATCCTTGTAGCGTTACTTTTCTTCTTTTTAATTTTTATCTGTTGTCTGTGTTTATTCTCATCAGAAGTTTTCAAAAGAATTTTTTTTGCCCTGTCACTACAACTTTCTTGAAGAATCAGATATAGAATAAAGCAGATGTCAGAAATGACAGTTTTTCAAAAGTGTTTAAAAGAGTAATTAAAATTTTTTTTGCCAGATTGTGAACCCAAAAAAAGCTAAATCATGGCACTGTGATAAAATGACCGTTATTGATTGCTTAGTTTTGTTTCATATGTACTTAGAAAATGGCTTTACATTGCATGCTTTAAATTGTTTCAGAATTTGCTTACATTTTATAAATGGAATGTGTGTGCCTTCAGTGCCATTGGAAATATGCAACATCACAGTAATGCTAAGCAATATGTCATGTTTGGAGAAAATATAAAAATCAGCTGTTAAAACTCTAGCTATTAGAGATAGTCCATTGAATTGTTTAACCTGTGACAAGCTCTTTGAAAGAGCTTCAAATAATTTTTGACTCACAGAATCAGCCATCAGTTGCTAGGTTTATTATTGCTCATCTTCTAAACCCAGGTAGAGCAGGATGTACTGGTTTTAGTGGCTGGTCCCAGGGGTGGAAGTGATGCCTGAGGGAGTTAGTGAAATGCCTCTGCTGCTTGATTTTTTTCATTTTAGACAAGTACTGTGTCTTATCTAAACTTTCTGTCTTCCACAGAACAGTGCACTTAAGTAAGCACCTAATGAGTGTGAGTGTGAATCAAATCATGTTGTCCCTGTGACAGTACTAACTAAAATTCAAGGGGAAAATGTTAGGCAGTAGAGAGGAAAGTGAGTATATTCTGTCTCCCAGACAGAACAGAGAATTTAATTCAACAAGCATATATTAAGCTTGCTATATACAATGCATCCTTCTATATACTGTTCACACAAAGACAAACCAAAAAACAGCCCTTCTCTGAACAAGCTTAGTCTGAAACACTGTCCTTGTGTCCCCACTCACATTTTTTAATCTGCCATCATAAATAGCCATGGGAAAGTAGAACTTAATTTAGTCAGTATTTCTATATGATTGTTTTTTCTGTCTTCCTGACCTGCCAAATCTATCTCTCTCAATCTCTCTTTCTCTCTCTTTGTATTTGTGTTATGTGCTATGTATTTTTATGTGATTACAAGATTCATTCCTTAGGTCTCATTCCTTTTTTCTGCTTTTTTTTTCTTTTAGTTCTTAGTACAATGCCTGACATTTAGAAGGCACTTAATAAATGTTTAATTGATTGATTGATAAGATTACGAATCTTGAGGACATAAATGTGAAGTTTAGGAGATTATTGATTCTGTAACTGCCTCTCACATTTTGTGTTCAAGCCTTTTAATTACCTAGTATTGTAAAATTGGTGACCACCTTGTTTGTATGGTATTCTGACTTCTGTAACTATTAGTGTTTCGAGTCCTTTGGGGTCAAGAACTATGTTTTTAAACTTCAGTCTTACTATGGTTTCTCACGTACAGTAGGTGTCCATTACATTTGGTGTTAATGATTATGTTTTATTCAGTATAGATAGAGATGACATAGAATCCCTAATCAGAATCTTACCATTTGTATCAGACTAATAAGACAGGCCATCCCCCCATCTCACACGCGCGCGCGCGCGCGCGCGCACACACACACACACACACACACACACACACACGAATTGTTGTAATGTTTGTTCGTTGTTTGAAGTCCACAAGTGAGAATTATAGAAATAAATGAAAGCAAAATTTGGCAAAATGATTTGGTTTGCTGAGCTATAATAATTCTCTCCTACTTTCATTTAGAATTACATAAGGAAATAATGGCAAGTGTATATGCCCAGAATTTAACATTAACATATTTCATGACTGTCAGCTATAAAGATTTTCAATTAAAATATGCCAAAAGATAGGATTTCTCTCTTGGGAACTTGGATTTTATAACTTTTTATAGAAAAAATATTTTGAGAATCAGTAATTCACACAAAATAATTTGTTATAAATAATTTTTTGTGTTTTGATCATTCTCCAGAAGAGATGACAGCATGGACAGAAGAAGAATGCAGAAATTTCGAGCATGCCCTTCTGATTTATGGGAAAGATTTTCATCTTATACAGAAGAATAAGGTAAATATTATGCAAATTGAACCAGAGAAGGAGTTTAGTAATATAAAATCTATGCAAGGAACTCATTTATCAAGACAGTGCCAAGAACAGAAAAAAAGGAACAACTGATTATTTTTCCTTATCATTTACATTCTGATTTTTCTTTAAACACCTCCAGGAGAACTCACTTGTAGGTGTCACAACCTATTCACCCTTAAAGTCATCAAAAGCACAGATATTGTTTTCACATATATTTCCGTGTTTGCATTTATAGTAAAATAAGCTTTAGTATTCAGAACTTATTCTGTATTTCCAGGAGGTGTACCTGATGTTTAGTCCTTATTTCCTTAATCAGCCAAGGACTTTTGGCCATGTATAAGTCTCAGATGATCTTCAACAGTGAGCTCTTTATTTCCTGAAAGACTGATAATTAAACTTTCCTGAGCCATATCCTAATATTTTGGGGTTTATTTCATTTTATTTTCAGTTCCAAATTCTCTCCTTCCCTCTGTCATCTCCCCTACTCATTGAGAAGGCAAGAAATATGATACCTTTCATACATATTAAGTCAAATAAAACAAATTTCTGCATTAGCCACGTTCTAAGAAAAGAAAGCAGAAAAATAAAGGGAAAAAATAAGTTTCAGACTTCATGTAGTTCATCTATTCTCTGTCTGGATGGAGATAGCATTTTATATTGCGAGTGCTTTGGAGTTATGGTAGATTATCGCATTGATCAGAGTTCCTAAGTTTTTGACAATTGATTATCTTTACAATATTGCTGTTATGATGTAGCTTGTTCTTCTGGTTCTGCTTACTTCACTCTGCAGCAGTTGATGCAAGTCTTTCCAGGTCTGTCTGAAAGCATTCCCTTCATCGTTTCCTGTAACATGACAATGTTCCATCACTTCATTCCCCAGTTGATGGGCATCCATCCCCTCAGTTTCTAATTTTTTGCCACCACAAAAGGCCACTATAAATATTTTTGTATATGTTATCTTAGTGATTTGTAAAGGAAATAGCACATATAGTAAAATCTAATTTGTATTTAAGTCTTCCCCTCTTAGTAGAATTACAGGAAAGACATTTGCCAACCAGATTGTAAAGAATTTAGTATAACTTGGTCACTTTGTGCTTTCTGTGGGAAGGGCAGGCGTCTGAAATACTTTGATAGGCAGGTTTTATACTTGAATAGTTTTGAACTTGATTGTTGACATAAAGACTCTAATATTGAATTTCCAACAAGATGGCTACATGAAAAAGTGTGCCTAAGCAGCTTCCCAACATTGTCTCAGAATAGTGAAAAATGTGCTAAAAAGAGCAAAGTAATAACAAATAACAAAGGAGGGAATGGGGAGAATTCATCTAGGAAAGGTATCACTGAAAAACCTGTAGAGAGACTGAAAAAAAAAATAGGAAGATCAGGTCATCTGTCAGTATGTGTGTGTATCTGTAGTATCTGTGTCTAGACAAATACATACATAAATACACACATACACAATCTTGAACACTGCAAATTGATTATAAGTTAGGTCCAGAATGGGACAGATTGACTTTGGGAAATTGTATCATTCGTTTAATTACCTCAAGCTTCTCTGAAACAGAGGCCCATCTTTTAACACTTATGTTGTTCTAATGGTGTTTAATGGCTAGTTGTGGAGTACCATGACTTTTATAGAATTGAAGGTCCGGACCCAAAGGGCAATGGAAGGGTATATGGTAGTAGTGAATACACAGTAGTACATTACAGATAAAGAATTGTACAGAAGACAGTTCACATAAAAGAAGTTATCAAAGAAATGGATAAGCAGAAAAAAAAAGATTAGTTGGTCACATAAAGTAATTGAGGAGTAAATAATAGATATTCCTCATGTCCCATTGATAGCCACACAATTCAAGAGAAAGGGTTGTAACTCACTGGATACATGCCTCATGAGATTTATGGGAGAATTTGGACAAGGGTACCACGTAACAGATATGTATAAATGGTTTGCAGACTACATGGTTGGAGGGAGTACCCATGTCTATGAGAGCACAGATCCATTAACAGATACGTCAGGAAATCATACCACAAAATTGATCATGAGTGTTGAAGCACTGAAAACAGGACAAAGTATAGAGTGATAGCATCTGTAAGATATCAAGAGAAAGAAAAACTAAATTTCTTTCGTTACATTTAGTCCTTAGCAACTTCAGAGAAAGGAAACCTAAGGAAGGTTATGTAGTAAAAATAACAAGAAAATATTTAAAAGTGAAATTAATGCTTATATATATGCTCCTTAAGGACAGGGCCTGTCCTTTGCCTTTCTTCGTATCCCCAGCACATTGGCTGGCACATAGAAGGTGTTTAACAAATGCTTGTTGCCTTGACTTTTCATGATTTACATAAGGTCCTGATGCCCAGTGTGAGAAGGGATAAAACAGAAAGAGAAATATAGACCAATACCACAAATTAATATTGACAGTAACATTTTAGCCAAAAAGTTATAGCAATATACCCCAAAAAATTATTCATTATAATCAAATTGGATTTATATTAGGAATGAAAAGATGGTTCAACATTAGGAAAATACTTAAGAAGCTGGCATGATTCAGTGGAAAGAATGCTGGATTTGGAGTCAGGATCTGGGTTTGAATCCCAGCTCTGCCCCTTATGAACTATGTGGCCTTGGACAAATCATTAAAACTTTATGGACCTCAGTTTTCCTAAATAAAATGAGAGTGCTGGACCAAATTACTTCTAAGATCTCTTGTAGCTCCAAATCTATGATCCCATGATCCATATTAGCTTAATGGATCATATAAATAAAACCCACAAAACTATGCCAATAGATTTATAAAAAGCCTTCAGCAGAATCCAGCACTCATTTATGTTAAAAATCCTAACAAGCATAGACATGAAAGGGCCCTTTAATACAAAAACATATACTGAAAGCCAAGATCTAGCATTATTTACAATGAAGAAACACTGGAAGCTTTCCTAGTAGGTTTATGACAAAAGCAAAAATGTCCCTTTCTCCACTATCATTTGACATAGTATTAGAAAGGCTAGCTTTAACAAGATAAAGAAATTAAAGAAATTAACATCAGCAAAGAGAAGGGAAAATTAACCCCATTTGCAGACAGTATGATATTTTACTTATAAAATGCTAAAGATATCCACAAAACAACTAATAGAGATGATTAATAGCTCCAATAAAATTAGGGTAAAAAGCAAGTCTACAAATCATCACCATTTTCATATAATGTTAACAAAACCAAAAAAGAACTGATACAGAAATTCCATGAAAAATAAGAACAAAATGCATCAAATATCTGGAAATTAGTATGGTAAGATACCTAGGACATATATAAGTAGAACTATAAAATGCTTTAGAAATAAGGGAATACCTAAATAATTGGAAACCATATTCAGTATTCATGGCTAGGTTTTGCCAACATAATAAAAAAATGATATCTAAGCTAATCCACAGATGTAATGTTATTCCAAGTTGATGATTTCTAGAAGTTGACAAATTACCATAGCAAGGTTGATAAATGAAAAGTTAATAAATTCAAGGAAAATAAGGCATATGGGGAGGGAAGAGAATGGAGCATTCGTATTACCAGATCTCAAATTATAGAACAGTAATTATAAAAACTATATGTTACTAGTTAAAGAGTAGAAAAGTAGATCACTGGAACAGACCAGATAAGAAGACCTAGAAGCAGAATACAGCAGCCTCATATACCATAAACCTAAGAGAACAAACCATTTAGAGGGTAAGGTAGTCTCCTGGGACAAGAACTGCTGGGAAAACTAGAAAGCAGTTTGACAGAAAGAGTAGGTTTAGATGGTACCGTTTGCCATATATCACAATGGATGTGACTTAACTCTAAAATTTAAATCTTAAGTTAAAAAAAAACAACTAGAGGAGAGTGGAGGATGATGCCTATTACAATGGTGAGATTGGGAGAGAATTCATCAAACAAGTGAAAGAGGTGATTACAAAAGACAAAATAGAGAATGTTGACTATGCTTTATAAAAAGAAACAAAACTTTTCCATGAGTAGAATCAGTACAGCTAAAATGGAGAAGCCATTGTAAGTCTGATATCCAAAATACATAGGGATTTGACACAAATATATTAGGCAGTGGAGACAGCCATTTAAAAAAAAAGGTGGTACAAATTATCAGCAACCATGCAGAGTCCTTCTGGGACAGGAGATAGAGCTGGCCTTGAAGCCAGGAAAAAAGTGGGTTCGAGCCCTTCCTCTGTTTGACATCTACCTGCTTTGTAACCCTGGGCAGATCACTTAGCCCTAGTTGCTCTAGGCAACTTTCTAAGCCTGTAGGTTGCACCAAAGGTACTAACCTGCATTGGTGAATAGTTTCCTCACCTGGGAGTTCTCTACGTGATTGAAATCACAGGTGTCCAGTCTAACAGCTAAAACTGTATTTCTGAATGCTCCAAATTGGTAATAAGAGAAATGAGTTCTTTGTAGTTTGAAGTCTAAACATTTGAAGATACAGTTATTGGGTAGGGACTGGAAACATGTGATGTCATTCTTTTAGGAAACACCTAGGTGAGGAAACTCCCTTGACCAAAGCAGGTTAATATGCAAATATTAAATAGCCATTAGTAGAAACATGTTTGCATTGACAATATAAAAACAAGCCCTCTACCCGAAATTCTGTTTTAACATCCTAATTGATGATAAAGATAGCATGCTTATTTTTTGGATAATGTAGAGCTGGGAGGGTCAATCAACATGTTGGATGACTAAATGAAAGATCTCAGCAGGCTGGAATAATAGACCAAATTCAGCAAGGTAAAGTGTAATAGGGATAAGTAGAAAATCCTACAAGTAGGTTCAGAAAATCAAGGACACTAGTAGGGAATGTGTTTTGGTTGACCAGATGAGTATATCTAGAAGAAGGCAACCAGAAGAGTGAAGGGGGTGGGGGAGGGGCGGAAGTCTTATAAGTCACATGCTAGCTAATTTCAGATATTCCAGGAACTCTTCTGGGGGCAAAGGATTAGATTTGCTCTGGGTAGCCCTAGAAGAGAGAGCTTGGACCAGTGCATGGAAGTTACAGGGAAGCAGTTTTCAGTCTTTACCCAACTTGTAGTTAGAGCTATTGAGGGCACTGTTCCATGTCACTGTAAGGGATTCAGACAGAGGCTTCTCAAAAAGAGATTCAAACACATTTGTTGGGGATGATCTAGAAGGGATTCCTTCCTTTTATCAAGGAGAGAATTGGACTGCAAAATTTCCAATCCTAACATTTGAGAGAATTTCCTGTTAAGGTAGAAAGGTTCCCAAAGATTGACATTTTCAAATGCACTTTTCTTAGGTGAGAACTAGAACCGTTGCTGAATGTGTAGCATTCTACTATATGTGGAAGAAATCAGAACGTTACGATTATTTTGCTCAACAAACAAGATTTGGGAAAAAACGATATAACCATCATCCTGGAGTCACGTAAGTATTTGAGATGTGCGGCTCTTACTCATCCTGATGTAGCTATACCTTATCTGTGTAAATGTATGTAATTTCATGTTTTAATTCTACTATATATTCATGATCAGTAATGAAATATGAATGTGCATGTCTAGGGACTATATGGATCGTTTGGTAGATGAAACAGAAGCTCTTGGAGGAGCAGTAAATTCTTCAGCCTTAACGTCTAACCGGACCGAGCCTCTTCCTGACCAGCAGCTAAGCATTCTGAACTCCTTCACTGCCAGCGACTTGACAGGTACAGTCAGCTTTGAATTTATCTTTTTAGATACACATTTAGATAATCAAAATTTTGTGATACTTCTTTTCTGAGGAAGATGAAATAGAATCATTTCTCTCCATTTCTCTTTCAGCATTGACCAATAGTGTCGCTACCGTCTGCAACTCTACAGACGTGAATTGCCTCGATGACAGCTTTCCTCCACTGGGCAATTTGCCCCGGGGACAAGTAAATCATGTGCCTGTTGTAACAGAAGAGTTACTTAACCTGCCTAGCAATGGTGAAAGTGATTGTTTTAATTTATTCGAGACTGGATTTTATCACTCAGAGCTAAACCCTATGAACATCTGCGGTGAAGAGTCAGAAAGACCAGCAAAGAGATTAAAAATGGGCATTTCTGTCCCTGAATCTTTTATAAATGATGTTTCTGTAAATAATCTGGGTGTGGACTTTGAAAATCACACGCATCATATCACCAGTGCCAAAATGGCTGTCTCAGTGGCTGACTTCAGCAGTCTATCTGCAAATGAGACAAATGGTTTCATCAGCTCCCACACTCTCCATCAACACACTGCCCTTCACTCAGAGTGATTCCGATGGCAAACTCCAAAAACAGTGGGTCTGCAGTACCAGTAAACTTGATGGGAGCTATCAGGTTTGCTTAGTCTTTCACTGGAAGTTTGAACCTTTTTCACTATGACATCAGTGATGTCTTTGTATGTATAGAACTATATCTTGATTTATCAAGAGTAATTTCATTTTTCAATCCATAAATGTGGAAATGAACTATGATGTTCAGCAGAGTTTGGGACTAAGAATGAACTCTGTGGCGCAGCTTTAAGCTCTGCTTTTCTCTCTCTCTTTTTTTTCTTTTCGTGTTTTGTTTTGTTTTGTGTTTTCTTTTAAAGCCTGTAGACAGGGGCCACCATCTCAAAACCAGCACCGAAGGTCTGAGCTGAATGGGGTGGCTTCTTTTAGAGTCAGTTCCTTTTGCCGTAATGGATGCAGTGGAATAACAATGTTTACAGGTACCAATCCTGATCCCTGTGCGATGTAGCATTTTTTTTTGTTTCATTTTGTTTTGTTGTTTTATTTTTTAGTTAAATAAAAGCAGGGGCAGGTTTCTTTAATTTAAACTGCACAAACATGCAAGGATGTTTTTTAAATGGAAACTTCTCTCATGTGATACTAAACTAGAGCACTTCGGTTTACAAAACAGCAAGTCCATCTTTATGGAAGCCAGCACAAGGGGCTGTGTGTGAGACGTAAGAAGACCCCTGCTCGGATGAGACTGTGAAGTTCTAGGCCCTGGCTACCTTACACATGAGTCATGCCAGGAGGTTTTGTGTACTTAACTTACAGGCTAAAATTTGAAGCTTCATGATAATTGTGTTTGATGGTGTTTTGTCCAAAATTTCCAAAATTGTAATATAACAGATTACACAGGTTATTGTGTTACTTAAACTATCCTAAGGCAGTTGACATACAAAGGCACAGCGTGCAGAGCCTAGGATATTACTCGGACATGGGTTACATTTGAGGACACCTCATAGGTTGTTTGGAGTACTGCAGTTCAAACTTTACGTTTAGGAGGCACCGTCTAGATTTTACACATAATGCAGTAGAACCTTGAAGTATATTTAAGCTTTTCAGGGGCTTAAATTACATCTGGAAAATGAAATAAGAGTTACTATCTCAAATCTGGTACTTTGCCACTTTAATTATTGGAAAATTTAGATGTCCAAATGCATCTTAGAGTCAATTTTACCTTTACTTTATTCCAAATGCATTGTAAGTGAAAGTCATCTTCAGAAACTTTGTGTTTGGTGATTTTGTTTTTTATTACATGCATACCCATCAACTTACAGGGCAGATTAAAACAATGTGTAGTACAATATTAGTACATGATAAACATCACGACTTTCACACATTAGACAAAAATGTCTTTAGTTGAAATGCAGTAGAATTCCTTCACTTTTTTTCTTTGCACTGTCTTAGTAACACCATTTTTTATTGCCACTAGTTGCGTTGAGTATAAAACCTTAAAAGTTTGGCTGCATTAGTGATATTTGTAAGTATAGGGCGCTTCAAGGTTGTGCTGAATTAGTAGGATTTAGTGAACTTATACCATAGTGTTGCAAAGGGAGGGTATTTATTATACAAACTGTAAACTGCATTGACATCCTTAATTTTGGATGAAGCACAGTCCTGTTTTTCTTTACAGCATTTGAAATGAAGATTGCTTTTTGAAGTGCTTATGCCGGAGTAGCACATCTACCATAAGCAGCATTAGTTTAGCACAGTGGACAAAAGTAGTTAAAATGGTAACTTCTTTAAAATCAGTTCACTAACCTACATCTGAAATATATAATAATTCTTGTAAGTACACAGTAATAACGGGTAGCCTGGGCCCTGTGTTGTACTCTGTGACATTTTTAGCCAAGTTGTCAGCTTCTTGTTGCTGTGTTTTTGTGCTAAACTTTGTACCTTGTTTCTTTTGTTAAAAATCAAAACATTTTATGTGATTTAGTAAAATACTGGCCATAATCTTCCATTGTTATGCATTTGAGTTTAACTCTGGGTTTACAGTGGCTGGTCTGTATAAAATCATTTACACAAAGATGACTGAATGCTAATACCAGTTGCACTTAAATGAACATGCCCATTCTCAGTAGCTGATGCAGTAAATATATTCAGTTTATCTATGCATTGCTGGGATCTTGATGTAGATGGAGACAGTCTAGTTTCTTATCTAAAGTTTGGATTGTCAGCAAGTTGAATGGACACTTTAGTTATTTAATAAAGATTTTTGACCAAAATCCAGAAAATGGTATATGAGAGAAAAATGAATTCCAGCTAGTATAATAGATTTTTAAATGCCAATCTGATTTTAGCCTCTCGGGGAGTGCTAGCTAGCTGGTAACGTTTACTTTTAATTCCTTGTTAAAATGAGGCAATAATTTGCAAGATTTTGTATATACATGTAAATTCTGCATATCTTTTTAGATATCTAATTCAATATTTTCTGACTACTTCTGCCATGTATAGTACCATTTTTGTGCATGCTTGATGTGACATTCATAAATTGTACCACTATGACTTTATCCATGTAAAATAGCTATTTATTGAATTTTCCTTTTAAAGCTGGACTTATCTATTTTTCTCTCAGTTTTTAAGCATCTTAATGGAGAATTTGTTACTGTTTATTAAAAGAATTGCGTTTAAGAGTTAGCATGAAGAAAGCTGAGCTGCAATTATATGAAGAAACTCTATTGCCTTTATTCTTACTTGTTGAAGCACAATTCTTATAACAAACTGTGATGAATTCTTTTTTTCTTTGCCGCATTTTTTTTTCATATGAACAAACCAAAAATCCATGATGAGCAATTGCAGTGTTGGTGGATATCTTGGTGTACAGGGAATCCGACGAGGACAGCTGATTCATTTAGAAGTGTGACTGGTGCTGTGATGATAGCAATACTTTTCTTTTGTTAGTCATATTTCATCTTTCCATGCTAGCTTTTAAAATGTTTAGTTTTCCTCTTGTCATGGTCAACTGCTGAATTTACTTGAAGGATGTACAATACTGTTTGCTGAAGAATACAGAAGTGTGTACAATTAGGTCAAAGAATTGTGCAATTGTTTCCTTTTTTTAAAAAATTTTTAAATTGAGGGTCATAAATGTGTGAGAACTTCAGATCTAGTAGAGCATAGTGATACTATTTAATTTAACCAAAGTCTCTAGTAAATATCTCAACTTTGAATGTAAACTAATGAATAAGTCTGACCAACCAGGAGATTGTTTGCCCAGAGTTACAAGCACATTGTCTACAAATGGGAATTGAAAATAATTTATAAAAATATTGACATGGTTACTATGTTTTTTAAAAAGTTCCTAATTTTTCACTAAAAGGAAACTCTTAGCAGTTATATTGTTAAAATATGGTAGGTATTAATATTCCTTTTAGACAACCAGTGATTCCAATTGTCCCAGTTTGAAATAAGTACCCTATGAGTATGAGATAAATTAGTGACAATCAGAACAAGTTTTAGTATCAGATGTTCAAGAGGAAGTCGCTATTGTTGCATTGACTTTAATATTTGTACATAAACACTGATTTTTTTGAGCATTATTTTGTATTTGTTGTACTTTAATACCTGGTGTACAGTTCCAGAAATAAATGTCTGGAAATCTTTTTTTCCTTGGTTCGTCTGTGTATCTGCAGTGGGTGACTTTTCAGTTAAAGAGGCCAGAAATCCTTAATATGCCAGTAGATTAAGTTAATGCTCTTTGAATTTTATAGCAGCCTCAGAAATAATCATTTTCTTAGGCTAAATGAGATTTAGGGTGAATGAGTAATGTTTTTTGGTTTTAAAATGTTTAAAGAGTTTTTTGGGGGGGGTGTAGAGGGTGGGCTATGATTTCATTGGTGTGGGGAATTCCCGGTGTGGCCTCCCCCTTCCATCTGTGGAAATGGGTGACTCCTCTGGAATTTAGCATCTTAGAGAATTACCTCAGGGACTGAGAGGTTAACTAGCTTGCCTGCCGTCATATAGCCAGTCTGTGTCAAGAGGCAGGACTTGAATCCAGGTCTGACCGACTCCAAAGCTAGCCCTCTTACCACTATGCCAAGCTGCCACACCTTAGGTTTTTAAATCATTTGAAAATTCCTCAAGATACCCTAAACAATTGTTTCAGTCTAAAAATTTAAAGAGATCACAGAATAAAACTTTTTTTTTTACATTTTTGTTCAAAGCTTTGAGTTCCAAATTCTATCCCTCCCTCCCTCCCTGAGATGGTAAGCAATCAGATATAGGTTATACATGTGCAATTATGTAAAACATTTCCATATTAGTCATTTTGTATGAGAAGACTCAAAAAAATGAAAGTGAAAAATAATATGCTTCAGTCTTTATTCAAACTATCAGTTCTTTCTCTAGAGGCAGATAGCATGCTTCATCATTAGTCCTTCGGGACTGTCTTGGATCATTGTATTGCTGAGAACAGCTAAGTCATTCACAGTTCTTCATCAAACTGCATTGCTGTTATCATGTACAATGTTCTCCTGGTTCTGTTCACTTCACTGTGCATCAGTTCATGTAAGACCAGGTTTTTCTGAAATCATCCTGCTTGTCATTTCTTGTAGCACAACAATATCCCATTACAATCATATACCACAGCTCGTTTAGTCATTCCCCAATTAATGGACATCCCTTCAATTTCCAATACAGAATAGAGCTTATTAGACTTTTTGAGATAATGTATAGAATATTCAAAGTGAACAAGTAAGTCTGTTTACTTTTTCAAGAATATTCATGGTGTTATTTAATTGATGAATTCTGTACTTTTTCTAGTTTGAGTTGTAGGAGCCAGAACTTTATGACATTATATTCCAGGTACTGTATACCACAGTGCCTCCCGTCTTCTCCAGCAGATTGCCCCCTCTAGCATCCCTATTCTCTCTCTCACCTTCAGTTTCTCTCCATCAACTGGCTCTTTCCCTGCCACCTGCAAACATCCTTAAAAAACCCTCACTCAGTATGACCATCCCAGCTGATGATCAGCCTTATCTCTATTCCCCCTTTTCTGCTAAATGAGAAAGTCTACCCTCAGTGCCTCCATTTCCTCCCTCTTCTTAAGTCTTCTAAAACTTCAATCTGGCTTCCAGCCTTACCTTTCAACTGAAACTGCTCCCTCCAAAGTCACTAGGGATCACCTTTCCAAATCTAATGGCCTTTTCTCAGTCTCTGTTCTTCACCTATCTGCATTCTTTGACAATGCTGATCGCTCTCCCTTTATATCTAGATCCTACCAGTCTGATTGTTCCTCTGCTGCCTCTTCATCCAGGTCACTGTGCACTGTGGTGTCCCCAAAGGATCTACCCAGGCCCTCCTTTCCCATTACACTCTGCTCCATGGGTTCAGTTATCAGTATTCTCAGAACATTTCAGCCCTGCACTTTTCAGTTCTCCAGTCTTCCGTTACCCATCTTGAACTACATGCCCCATAGGCATCCCAAACTCAACATAGCCAAAATTGAACTCATCTTTCCCCCAAAAAAACTCTTCCTGTCTATCCAACTTTCCTATTGCTCTTGAGGGCACCACCCAGGCTTGTAACCTCTGTATCATCCTCTACTCACACGCCCCATACAGCCAATCTGTTGTCAAGTCAACAAACATTTATTAAGCACAGTGCTAAGCGCTAGGAGTACAAAGATCATCCAAAACGCCCTGCTCCGAAGGAGCTCGCCGTGTAATGAGGGAGGCAACCATGTACAAACAAAGACATACAAACTATATATACAGAAAATCAACCTGTAGGACGCTAAAGATTAAGGGGAATTAGAAAAGTCTTCTTGTAGAAGGTGGGATTTTAGTCGGGACTTGAAGTAAGCCAGGAGACTGAGATGAGATGGGAGAGAAGTCGACAGCTAGTGAGAAGGCCTGGACTGAGGAGGGGTAGTTCTCTTGTGTGAGGAACGACAGGGACACCACAGCCCCTGGTTCTCACATGGAGGGAGCAAGATGGGAGAAGGTGCGAGGGGAGGAAGGGCTCTGAGCAGCAGAGGATTTTCTGTTTGATCGTATTTGGAGGCACTGGAGTTATTGTCAAGTCTTGTTATTTCCACCTTTCCATCATCTTCCTCCGTGCCCCCTTCTCTTCTCTCACATAGCCACCAGCCTGATAGAAACCCTCATCACCTTGTACCTAGACTATTGCAAAAGCCTTCTGGTCATTCTCCCTACCTCAATTCTCTCTTCACTCCAATCCATCCTCCACTCAGCTGCCAACGTGATTTTCCTAAAGCACAGGTCTCTTCATGTCATCCCCATATTCAGTAAACTCCAGGGGGCTCCATATTACTTTCAACATAAAATGTAAAATGTTTTGTTTGACACTGAAACTTGCAGAGGCAGCTGGTAACACAGGGGATAGAATGCTGGGCTTGGAGTCAAGAAGACAAGTTCAAATCTGATCTCATGCTTACTAGCTGAGAGCTCCTGGGCAAGTCACTTAACCTCTGTCTGCCTCAGTTTCCTCATCTGCAAAAATGGGGATCATAATAGCACCAGGGTTGTGGTGAGGATCAAATGAAATAATATTTATAAAGCACTTAACACAGTACCTGGCACATAGCAGATATTTAATAAATACTAGTTTCCTCCCTTCCTTCATGACCTAGTCCCTTCCTGTTCTAGGCTTCTTATACTTTACTTCCCTCCATGTACACAAGGATCCAGCTACACTGACCTGCTTTGCTGTTCCTAACACATACCACTCAATCTCCAAACTCCTTGCCTTTTTTTTTCTTTTTGAATTAATTTTTTTTTTCAATCAGCAAAAACCTGCCTTCTTTCCTTCCTTCACTTTACCACCACCACTGCCGTCTCCATTGAGGAACAAAACCCCTGTCATGAACGTGGATAGGCAAGCAGAACAAATTTCCATATTGATCATGTCAAAAAAAAAATGTTTCATTCTGCAACTCTGAGTGTTTCACTTCTCTGTTTCGTCATGAGTCCTGCAGAATTGTGGTTAGTCAGTACGCTGGTTAGAGTTCCTCAGGCTTTCAGAGTCGTTTGTCTTTACCATGTTGTTCTCACTGTATAAATTATTCTCCTAGTGCTGCTCTCTTCACTCTGCAGCAGTTTATACATATCTTCCCAGGTTTCTCTGAAACCATCCACTTCATCATTTCTTACAGCACAATAGCATTCCATCACATTTATATACCATAACTTGTTCAGGCATGGGCACCCCTTCAGTTTCCAATTCTCTGCTACCCCCAAAAGAGCCATAAATATTTTCACACATCCTTAGAATTTGTTTTACTTAGGCTTAATCCCTCCCTTAATCTATATTCCCTTTACTTCTCCCTTCTTTCTTCTTCCCTTTCCTTCCTATTTCCCTGTTGAATGAAATATGTGTGACTGTGTGTGTATTCTTCCCTCCTTTGATCAGTGCAGATGGTGGTGAGCTTTGTGTCAGCCTCACCCTCTACACCTTCCTCTTTGTAAGGCATTTGAGATAATTTTCCCTAACTTTCATCTCCTGCCCCAGTGTATATTCTTCTCCCCCTCTGTCTCCATTCTTCTTTTAAGACTATGAAATTAGAACCATGTCCTTCTGTGTAATTAGTTTCCCTCTGTGAAGATGATGATGATGATGATGATAGGGTTCAGAAAGCACATTTCTCTGTTTTAGAATATAAGCAGTTTATCCCTGTTTAGTCCTTTCTCATTTTTTCATTCATGTTTACCTTTTAATGCTTCTTTTCACTCCTGTGTTTGAACGTCAAAGTTTCTAGGAGGCTCCAGTCTTTTCATCAGGAATGCTTAGAAGTCCTCTATTGCATTAAAAATTCATTTTTCCCCCTGTAGGATTATACTCAGTTTTCCCAGCTAAATTATTCTTGATTGTAAGCCCTTGACATATTTCAAGTTCTCCACTCTTTGACAGTGGTAGTTGCTAAATTGTGTGTGTGTAAATATAAAATGCCTCATGGAAAAAACAACTGACCTGGAAAATAGATCCAGGAGAGACAATATCAGAATCACTCGACTACCTGAAATAGGTTCTTGATACTTAAATTCTTTCTCTCTGCTTGCAGTATTTTTTCTTTGACCTGGAAACTCTGGATTTTAGCTATGATGTTCCCGAGAGTTTTCATTTTGGGTTTCCTTTCAGGAAGTGACCAGTGGATTCCTTCTATTTCTACTTTGCCTTCTGGTTCTAAGAAACCTATGCAATTTTCTTTAATGATTTCTTTTTTTTAAATAGTATTTTATTTTTTCCAATTATATATAAAAACAATTTTTAACATTCATTTTTACATAATTATGAATTCCAAGTTTTTCTCCCTCCTTCCCCATCTTCCTAAAAATTAAGCAATTTGATATGTTATGTATATATATGCAATCATGTAAAATATATTTCCATATTAGTCATGTTGTGAAAGAAGAAATAGACCAAAAGGAAAAAAAATTACAAAAAAAAAAGTGAAAATAGTATGCTTTGATCTGCATTCAAAGTCCATCAGTTCTTTTTCTGGATCTGGATGACATTTTCCATCATGAGTCCTTTGTAATTGTCTTGGATAAATGAATTCTTGAAATAGGATGTTTAGGCTCTTATTTTTTTTGTCATGGTTTTTAGGTAATCTGATAATTCTTAATTTTTTTTCTCCTTTATCTG